CAACGCGCTAATATCCTTTATCGTGTTAACAGGTCTGGTCGGAATCCAAGATGCAGTCACTTGGTGCTCAACCAAGACGCAATCTCAAGCTTTCTTTGTCACAACCAAAACCAAAGGCTCTGCGACTGACGATGGGTTCGTCTACACCTACACCCAACGTGGTCGGTGGTACGATCGACAGCGAGTCACTCCGACGACAGAAGGAGGAGATGGGTCAAGCCTTGAGCAAAGCGCAGAGGGCAACTTCGAAGGTGGCACAAACCAATGGTTCAACCCCAGTGCCATCAAGCGCCGCTCCCAGCGTTCGTCGAAGCGCCTCACTAGCTACAACTACTGAGCAACCTGATGCAATCGTGAACGACGTCAAAGTCAACGGTATCGCAAGCACACCCCAAGCTCAAGAAGCTGTGAAAGCCTCACAACCCCCTGCGCAAACCCCAGCGCAGCAGCTGCCAACCCCTGTTCAAGAAGTCGACATTGACCTCCCGAATACACTGCCTCTCACGAATGGAAACGGGCATATCGAGTCCTCTGTGCAGCAGCCATCTAGCCCTACACTGAGCACGAATCCACCGGCACCCAATGACAATTACTTGAATCAATCTGTGATTCCCATGGAGCGACGTTACCGTGACCCAGGCAGAGGTAAGTTCAATCTCACTCTTCTCATCTAATCTTTTCATTGGTGTCATTCTGCTGACATTGAATCCGCTACACTCTCAGGCTGGTCCCACGCCTTACTCGCCTCTGTGACATTCATGACCAACCCTTCTTTACCGAATGACCCGCGCTGGAAACTGGTCCGTTACGGCTCGGCCACCAAGACCCAGACAAGTGGCTTCATCGCTTTACCTGCACATTACCGCGATCTTCGCATTATCCCCACGACCACTCCCGAACTAGCAAATCGTCGCCGTCATCGCATTTTTTTCATGCATAACTCGACCGTTTACAAAGAGAGCAACAGTAATCATGTGGAAGGAGCTTTTGAGGTCAGGCTCGTTCCAGGAGAGAATGTTCTTGTTGTGGAGGTGTTGGCAGATCTGAGGGACGGAGAGAAGAAGACGTATGCACCCAGTCAATTGCAGTTTGACTTTGAGAGGTGCACCTTGATTGTACATCTCAACACAGCCTAACATAAGGGAAGGGTTTGCAATGAGATTAGGAAAGACATGTCTCGGTCCAAATGACTCGGAAAAAGGAATTGGCAGTGCGGCGAACTGCTTTCAACGAGCTTGACACATGCATGGAGTTGCATTTCAATACGTGCGTTCTAGGGGCTTCAGCGCCAGTGTTTTATCAATGAGATTGAAATATGCCTTGAAAATCACAAAGCCTACCGCTGTTTCTCTGTCCAGTAAGCACCAACTCGAATATTTCTATGGGTCAAAGTGCAATGGAATGGTGACCATCAAACCGCACACTAAGGTCGTACCTGTTTCCTTCATATGGTTGAACCATCTATACAGAGTCTTCGGATGTGTGTTCAAGCAGGCTCGACCTGATCATCAACCGAACTCCCCCCCTTTCTGACTTGAAAGCCCATCTCGTGAAAATGATAGAGTACAAACAGCAGTATAACAGGTTCCCTGTCCTACTTCGCAGCCCTGGGCCCCGCGACACCAGCCCCAATCACACTGGGTAGTTCTTGCGCTCCCATGCTGTACAGCATTCCGATGGCCCCGGCTACCAATGCAGTCATAACCACCCCGAAGGTGGCGAACATGATAAAAGGTACGGAGATGTCTTTCTTTTGACACGCATTTCCGCCCCATGTCACCGTCTTCTTGGTCCCGTCTTCGTTGATCCGGACAAGAGTGGACGTGCATCGGCACTTGAAGCAATTGGTGTGAGCTTTGTAGCAGGAGCCGTGGCCGGAGCACGAGTTTGTGGTGTTCTCGCACGCTGACTGTGAGGCAAAACAGGCGGGAATCACAGAGGGAAGGGTGAAGTTCGAGGAAGTGTTGGCAGGTGTGATTGTGTCAAATCCAGAGACGGAGGATGGGGTGGGCGACGTAGATGGCAGGTCTAGGCGTTCCTCTTCGGACGTTTGTGCGGAGCGGGCAACGTGCTTGTGGTTGTTGGCATTTTTCTTCTTGGGATTCTTCAGTTTCTTCGCGGAGGGAAGCAGGAGAATGGTGGATTCGACGTTGTCTGTGGCGGAGAAGTGCTTCAGGATTCGCACCAAGCCGTTCAGCTGGTTCTTAACGCCCGACGGGTCGGTGGGCAGGAAACTATGGAGGGAGAGAATGATCGGGATGTTGGGGATCTCTGAGGCCGCCAGGCATCTTCCATTTTCGGCTGGATAGGTGAAGACCACCTCAACACCCTTGCTTTGGGGAGCATTGCGAGAAGGCGGAACTGCATACTCGCAGAGCCCGTCTTTCTCTTTCCGGCTTCCATCAGATATCGCCTTGAAGTCGCTGAGCAGGTCTTTTGTCGGATCCGAAATCCATAGATCAGGCATGGCCATATCAAAGTCACTGATCTGCATATCCACCCCCGTTATTCTGATGAATAGCTTTCCTGGCGCATCTTTGGGATGGCTCTCCCCAAACAGCGGTGCTTGGTATCCCCCATAGGTATTGAGATCTTCGAGAAGCATTGAATCTGTGATTCCGAGGTATCGATCTGCAGTAAGGGCTCTTCTTCTCGCGATAACGGCGCTGGCCATTTCTGAATCGATCATGCCAGTCGAAGGGCTGATGATAGAGCGGTCGATGGTGAAGAGGTATGCGCCTTGAGCAGCGACATAATGTGCGAGTGCTGCACAGGGCAGGAAGACCGATAGGGGCTTCATGGTCAGTATAGCCAGCTGAGAGCCCAATATTGAGCTGTTAATTGAAGCTGGCAGTACTACAGAAGACAGAGAGCAGCACTACGTATGGGGGCAAAGACACGGATAATTGTTTCGGCCTGAGCTAGCGAAGGACTGGACCCTGACACGTGCAGCGTGCAGCAACCCCTCGTCCCATCACGATATTGCCAATTCAAGGCTGTGAAACTCCAGTCCTTTTCTCTTCGGTGGCCGCGCAGCATTTAATTTCATCTATTACGGCCCATATTCTTCCTTTCCCCTACGGGGTCATTGCTCAGACGTACTTCCGCGCTTTCCTCAGGAGAAAATACTGCGCATAGGTTCAATGTCATCGAGCACGGCCACTTGTCGACCACACATTAATTCCTCCTCGCTACCATGAAACCAACTGATGCCTCGAGCTGCCCCTCCACATGCTTCGGTATCTATTCCGTAGCCCGCGGAGCGTTCGCGTGCCACTCCAGAATGGGCCAGTCGATCTTCAGAGGGTCGCAATAACTAGGAGATCTAAATCAACGTGCGTGGTGTCGCACCTGAAACCCTTCCAGTTGTTGAATATTGCTAACAGTCGACAGCCCTATCCTTTACCGATTTTTCACGACGATTGCACTGACCTACTGTGCTGCGAAGACAATCAATCACTACTTCCCGAACAGTGCGCACGGATCTAGGCCCCATGTTGAGTCTGTCAAGAAGACGCACGAATCTGAAGATCACGAGAGATTATGGCAAGAATACTTGGAGAAGGCTAAAGCGAATGGCGCAACGACTTCTCCCGAAGCTATCCATTTGATGCTGCCGATCTGGATTCGGCGAGCAAAGCCCCAACCATGGGAGCCCGATGATCCAACCTGGAAGTCGTTTCAAGCTCTCCAGGAAGATACGAAACGCCTGCGTGAAATCACAAGAGCCATCCAAGAGTCACTGAAGCAAGAGGTCGTCAAAAAGTATGGTCGTGTCATGGTAGAGCTCGGAGGAACTTTCGCCTTCCACGCCGGATGGAGACTGGCTCCGCCTCTGTATGCTCCAACGGCGTACGAAATCCCATGCATCTTCTTAGAGCCCGACAAGATCAGCTATGGCTGGAGGCAGCTACCGAATAGTATGGGGGGAAAGATGGATCGTGTCTTCCATCCAATTGTGCTGGCCAAGGCCTTTATCCATGGTTTCGGAGAATTTGCCTGGGCTTCATATTTGATCACCAGGGCCCGTCTCGTGGATCGACTCAATTCCCTCAGCGCGAGCCTCAAAGACTCGACCACGCGGCAGCAAACTCTCAGCGAAGACGAGAAAGCTCACAAACGGTTGAGTTTTGGGAAAGTATCCGAGGAAGAGAAAACAGTCTGGCTACCTTTTCTCCGTGGTGATTACGGTGACCACGACTCAAGACGGGCCTACCGCGATCTGGTCAAGTCCATGACCTACCAGGGTGCAATCGAGTCGGGATGTGCAGTATTCCGAGCATATTGGATTCATGGGCAAGAAAAGGTTATGCAATCGTACACTCGAGACAGCCTACTTATGGTCGGAGAGATAGCATTCGTGGGAGATAGGGGGACCCTTTTTGTGCACGCCGTGGCGGTATACTCTCCTGAGACCGATTCTCTCATCGGTCCACCCCTCCTCAAACATGCGTATGTTGTCCCAGACCGAGCGAAGTGGGTGGAAGACAAAACGGCCAAAGCCGAGGGCAACGATCTACCGCAAGCTGAAAGACAAGAAGATACGAAGTTGATTGCTCCAGACACTCTGAAACCTTCGACGGAACCTGATGGAGCACGGACGGCGGGAAAGCCTCCTTCGGCCGAAGAAAATGAAGAGAAGGATAGCGAGAAATGATTTGATATCCCATTGCTTTATGCACAGCGCAAGGCGTTGCTCAGGATCTGGAGCTTAGGGCAATTCTGATGGACTCTTGAGATGATGTGTTTGCCATGATATTCTGATTGGAGTGTTGGCAGAGGGTGCTTGTTCACAGTTATTGTGTGCTTGGTGCAAGCAACTTCATCTTCAGTCTTACTTAAAAGTGTTAGTAGTGAACTCATTTCAATCACTCTTCGTCTCCCATGTCTTACTTTCTTTGGCTCAGTCTTCATCCAAGCCCAGAACGCTGACACTGCCATTCTACAGCAAGGGAACCTTGAAATTTGGAACTCGTGCCACAGTGTCAACTCCCGTGACAATGCTGGGAAACAGCCTCAGATCCAGCGTCGTCTCCATCTGGCTCTACTTTGTCCTCAACATGCTCGTCACGGTCACGAACAAGCAGATCGTGTCCCGGACTGCGTGTCCCTGGCTCCTCACGGCATCGCACGCATTCACTACGTTTATCGCCACAGGGGCGATTTCGCGGCTCCAGAAACCCAATTCCGCGGCCACCTCCTCGACAAGTACGGCCACGTCGACCTTTGTACCCCGTCCTCTGGCCACTTGTGGACGACTTGAAGAAGAAGAAGAGGGTGCTGATGACGACGGCGAGGCCGACCACAGGCACCGAGATAGAGAAGGAGATGGCACCAGTCTCAGTCTACGAGCGCATCTACGAGTTCTTCTCCCCTTTTCTCTCCTGTACACGCTAAACATCGCCCTGTCCAACTTGGCCTTGGGCCTGGTGACGTTGTCCATGCACCAGACCATTCGCGCGACGGCCCCGGTCATCACCGTGCTGGTCTCGATCGTGTGGCTTGGAAGCACGTGGAGAGAATACCCGGCCGGGGTGTACGGCGCGATGGGTCTGACCATTTGCGGCGTGATCATTGCGACCAACGCTGCGTCGTCGAGCAAAGTCATCGGCCACGACAGAGCAGGTCTCGTTATCGACCCAACACGGACAACCACATTCGGGTTCACAGTCACGTTGCTCAGCGCCGTCTTGGCCGTGCTCAAAACCGTCTTTACCAACGAACTGCAGCGCCCGCATCGCGCCAGTCGATGGGGGCTGGGTCTGCCCTCGACGAGGCTTGTGCAGTATCTCGCACTTTACGCGGTGAACCAGGCGGTGCTCCTGGCGAGCTGGGCCGGTGAGATCCAGGGACTGACGACCAACGTGGACCATGGGCCACCGTCCACCCTGACGCTCGAGCTCGGGGGTCGACCGCATCGAGTCGCAGTGCCGTGGCCGTGGCTGTGGCTGCTCAACGCCCTCGCCGCGGCGATGCTGAACCTCTCGTCCTTCGAGGCCAACAAGCGCTGCGGCCCTCTGACCATGGCCATCGCCGCCAACATGAAACAAGTCGTCATTCTCCTCATGGTGATATGCCTCCGCGACGTCACCGAGGCGACCAACAGCGCACAGGACCGCCGCGCCAGAGAGAACACCGTCATCGTAGGTTCCCTGATCACGACTGTCGGAGGGATTTGGTACGCCTTTGCCAGCGCACGGATGAAGCGGAGATAAAGACGAGATTCGGTGGGAGATAACGGCGTCTCTGAGAAACGAGGCTGGGCTGGATAGGGGGGCTACAGCCACATTTGAGAAACCACCGGGACCGACCGGAAGCGGGTTGGAAGAGCAACATCGGGGGATCGACTTGGTCGGCACAGGCGGGGAGCAGGTCGGAGAAGCCGTGTTCAGCTATCATCGTTTGGACTGTTTGATGCAAATCGCTCCCGTTCGATCGAACTTGCCACCATGGGTCGCGTCGGGATGGGTGGGTCTGATGAGGACAAGCGAAGCTGGCATCGTCCGAGGGTGAGATGCGCCTAGCGACCAAGCGACTGTCTGCCTCGCTCACTGAAAGGCTCGGTTTGCAAGTCACGGCACGGCCTGCTTGAATGCAATTGCCGGAGAGCGAGGTTGGCTTCTACGTATATTCGACGTAGAGACCGAGTACGAGGTACCTCGATCCCCTTCTCTATTTGGAGAGCTAATAGATTGATGGTGAATGGCCCACAGAGGGGGATACTGGCACACGATATGACTTTTTCCCCCTTGACTTATTCCTTTTTTTGCTTTTCTTCTTCCCTTTTTTTCTGATACCCACGTACACCAGATTCCACGGATCCAAGGTACTCGTACACCTGTATGGTTGTCTCTCTCTCTCTCCCTTGACAGATTCCCGTCTTGTTACCGCTTCAGGCACGGATTCTAATAAATCATCCGCCCTGTCTCCGTCCGAGATGTCTTTTCACCCCTCCAAGGCCTTCAAGCTCGCCTCGTAGACCTTCTTGACCTCGTCCTGGCCCTTCTTCACGACCTCCTCCATCTGCTTGTGCGCCTTGCGCAGTTCGTCCTGGATGACCAGTTTCCCCAGCTCCATCTTCCGGAACCGCTTTTGCGCGTCGCCCCTCGCGTTGCGGACATCCTGGGATGCCCGGTCGAACATCTTCTTAGCCTCGGCACGCGCGAGGTTGCGCGTCTCCGCCGTGATGGGCGGAACGGGTACCGTGATCAGCAAGGGGTTAGAGGCGGTCGGCGGGTTCGACTGGGAGACCGAGGTCGTGCCTGGGGTGTGTGGAGCGGTCGTCTGCGGGACGAGACTGTATGGGCTTGCGAGGAGGGCTGATGCGATCGGTTTGACGTGCTATAAAAGTACCGAAAAGAAAAATCCGTCAGTTTCACACGCGCTTCTTGACTCTGTAATTCCTCAACGCCTCCCAAAAAAGCCACATTTCGAGAATGGGACACCCATGGCCCTCGATTAAAAGAAAAAGGGGAGACGAAGCAAATACACGGAAAGATGGGCCACTCACAGATTCCTCGGCGCAGAATATCTGAACACTCCTCCCACCCTTTGCAACCACACTGGCCAGATCCCCGACCTTGGCCTTTTCCTTGTGCGGGCTCCCTCTCCCCGTCTCCGCGCCCTTGACATTGATTTCCACGGGCAAGGCCTCGATCATCTCCGGCGTGACCCTGCCGGCGTCCTTGGTCTTGACCAGCGCCTCCTTGAGGCGCGCCACGGCCTTTGCGATCGCCGCCTCGAGCTCCGAGAAGTCGTACGGGTCAATTTCGCTGTCACGGTTGCGCGTGGCTTTGTTGTCCGGGATGTGCACGTCGTCCTTGTGCCGGAGGGAGTCGACCGAAGGGGATTTTCGCGACGATTTGGACGAGCCCGACGACTTCTTGAGCAGGGATGTCGAGGTCGAGAGTGTTCGAGCGGGGACTTGATGTTCTTGTGTTGGCACTCTCAGTGGGAGTATCCGTTTAGGTACGTAGGACCGAAGTAGTCGGGTCTGGCATTGGAAGCAGAGAGATTGCTGCTGTTGCGACAATGAAGAAGGGCGCAGTTGCCGATGCGCAGGGAGCAGGAGTTGTTGAATGACCTGCGCCGTCTCTCTGCTCCGTGGAGGCATTTTGGTCTCTGTATGTTGCGAAGGACGACCGATGAGCTTGACAGTCCACCACACGTTGAGTTGATTGGATTTTGGAACGTAGATTTTCTTTTGCTCGCCCGGTTGATTCAGTTGTGATGCGAAAGTTGGAGAAGCTCCAGGTGCGCGACCCACTTCGCGCTAACATTTGGCATTTCTGCATAGCACGAGGCTGAACGCTTAAGGGGGCCTACCATTTGCATAGGTGCTTTATGTAGAGCATGAGAAGCAAAACCCTGCTATTGTCGGACATGGGCCTATTGGTCCTTGCTGGCGAGATAATACATCACATATTCAATGGGTCTATGACTGCAACTGGATAAGAAGCCAAATAAACCAAGTGCTTTTTATTTTGCTCTCGAGCTGGAGAAAACAAAATGTCCCTGCGCTCAAGCCGTGTAAAAAAAAAAAGCACAGTTGCGGCAAATCAAACACTATCTTCATTCTGATTTCATGGCCGAGAAACGAGATTGCCGCTCTATCTCAAAACATACTAAGGCAATAACATTTTCCTAGCCTATTGACGAGCCCAACCAGCAGCTGCTGGTCCGATTGACCCGCCTGACAACTGTCCGAAAACGACGCCAGCCACAGTTCTTTTGAAAATGCCATGCATACTGTCATGAGGATGGGGAGAGGTAGCGCTCCGAGATGTTTTCGGGCGATTTGGTGGCCTACCCAAGAGTAGCTTGATAGGCTCAACCGATCGTCGACGAGATGGCCGTCTACCTCGTAGCCATGGCCTTGGTCATAGCTCTCTTCAGAGCCAATTCCTTCTTCTTCAAATCATCCGGGGTCGAATCATCCACCTCAAGCTGTTGCATAGCGTCACTCAAGGCCTCCTCGATCTTGGCCTTGTTGCCACGCTTCATCTTCATCGACAATCCCGGGTCGTTGATCAGTTCCTCCACACGACCAATGTATGACTCGAGTTGCTGCTTAGCCTCGAATTTCTTGGTGAATGCCTCGTCGCTGGTTTTGAATTTAGCAGCGTCCTCGACCATCTTTTCGATCTCAGTGGTGGAGAGTTTGCCGACGGCGTTGGAGATGGTAATGTTGGCGCTTCGACCGGAGGATTTCTCGGTCGCAGTGACTTTAAGAATACCATTGACGTCTACCTCAAACACCACCTCGAGAGCGGCGTCTCCAGCCCTCATGGGCGGGATTGGTGACAAGGTAAACTCGCCCAGAGAGGTATTGTCTTCGCAGTTGGTCCGCTCTCCCTGATAAACGGGGAACTGTACGGTTTGCTGGTTGCTAGAGCACTTGTCAGCGCGCAAGGTAATTCAACGACGGGAAGCTACTTACTCAACCACAGTGGTGAAGGTTCTGTCAGACATGAAATTTGTCAGTAAATACCAATAGTCGCGAACAAAACAATTATGTAGATGGAAGATGCAGAACGATGAGTCCAGGTGCGGCAAAAATCCAGACAAAGCGATGGGTGCAGACATGGCAATGTGAATCGGGTAACACATTGCATCCAGGTAAAGTGACGAATGAGAGATGATGGGTGTGCCAAGTGACGGTTGGTGATTAGGTCGATGAATCCAGGTAGGATGACATGTTGAGCTAAATCGACGGCGTCGATTTAAAAGATGCGGCGGCGGCAGCGACCCGCTCTAGGTCGCAGGTGCCATTGCTCCGTACGTCGAGGGAAGTGACGCGGTCCAAAAGGGAGGAAGGCGTGTTTAGATGGTGCAGAGTTGCCTGCAGTTTTGCGAGCTTTCCAAGGGCAGGTGCCATTGCCGAGTCCGGTGGGGAGGAGATTGACGATAAAACAAAAATGAAGGACAAAGAAAATGAGATGAACTGACCTCTTCTTAATGCAAGGAACAGTATTTCCGCGAGGGACAACGGGAGCGAAAATGTTGCCTTCCATAGCCACACCGAGAGATAGAGGAACGACATCGAGCAGGAGGAGGTCGGCAGTCTCAGCAGAGGTGGCTTTGCCGGACAGGATACCTGCCTGCACGGCGGCTCCGTAGGCAACGGCTTCGTCGGGGTTGATGCTCTGTTCCGTTGTTAGCAAAAATCCAAGTCAGTCTAAGGTATAACGAACCTTCTCCAGCTTCTTGCCGTCGAAGAAATCGCTCAGCAATTTCTGGATACGAGGGATACGGGTTGAACCACCAACAAGCACAATCTCGTCCACCTTTGATTTCTCGATGTTGGCGTCTTTCAGGACTTGTTGAACAGGCTCCAGGGTACCATTGAAGATCTTGGCATTAAGATCCTCAAATCGGGCACGGGTGATGGTAGCATTGAAATCTTCTCCATCGAACAGCGAATCAATCTCAACTGTAGCCTGGGTACCATTCGACAGTGTTCTCTTAGCGCGTTCGCAAGCGGTCCGAAGTCGTCGAAGAGCACGGGCGTCACCAGACAAATCCTTCTTGGTCTTCCTCGTGAACTCTTTCTTGAAGTGCTCAAGAAGGTTGGTGTCAAAGTCCTGACCACCCAAATGGGTATCTCCAGCAGTAGCCTTGACGGTGAAGACACCACCTTGGATATTTAGGAGAGAAACATCGAAGGTGCCACCACCAAGATCGTAGATGAGGACGTTTCGCTCCTTGTCTGACTTGCCAGATCCAAGACCGTAGGCGATGGCGGCAGCAGTGGGCTCGTTGATGATTCGGAGGACGTTGAGGCCGGAAATGGCACCAGCGTCCTTGGTGGCTTGTCGTTGGTTGTCATTGAAATAAGCAGGCACCGTGACAACGGCCTTGGAAACTTTCTTGCCCAGCTTGGTCTCTGCAACCTCCTTCATCTGTAGCGCAATGCTTTAGTGGTGTCCGGTATGGTGCGCGGAAAAATGAGGGCTCTCACCTTCATCAAGACCATGGAGGAGATTTCCTGGGGTGAGAAAGTCTTGGTTTCTCCGAGGTATTGGACCTGAACCATGGGGTTGCCGCCCTGGTCAACGACCTTGAACGGCCATGATTCGATATCCTTCTTGACCGTTGGGTCATCAAATCGTCTTCCGATCAATCGCCTGCGCCGAGGTTAAGAGGAATTCAGTATATTATAGATAGATCCCACTGACTTGACGTCAAAGACTGTGTTTTCCGGGTTCATGGCCGC